CGTCAAGAAGACGGACGTCATATAATGGCTCTTCCCGGAGGAGGAGTGGGGGGGGGGGGTTGAGATCTTCCAAAATTGGAAGTGTGAAACAGAGAAAGAAAGAGGGAGACTTGTTGAATTTTAGAACATTTGCATACCCCCCCCCCTTATGCACCTTCACCATACCAGTTGGAATGGACACCCATAAATGCAAGTGCTGACGGGGGCTAAAGTAATTGGAGTTGGAATTGCAGTCTGGTGTTGCAGCGAGTTACGCCAATGGGAAGTTAAGAGATCTTTGCCATTACGCTGTTTTGCCAAATCTAATGATAATAATAATAATAATTATCCGCTAAAGAAAGACTCCAACGACATCCTTGTGCCATCCTTGAAAGTACAAACAGCAGTACTTGAAGATAAATCCAGTTGTCAAGTCTGGTCACCCTTAGAGAAGTTAGCCAAAATTTCCATTCCATCGCCAGATATTAGAAACAGTTTGGGAAAAGAAGAAGAAAAAAAAAAAACTGTAAATATTTTTTTCTTTTGATATAAATATCCTCTAGTGACTTATTCAGGCATTGTCTATTTTATTTTCAATTTTGTGCGCGTATTCAACTTCTTGGTTTAGCTTGGTTGAGATACCCCAGTGATAATTCAGCTTGACCCTCTTAAGATCAAAAATCACAACGTGGGTAAGAGGGGTCATGGTTGAAGAGGTCAACTTAAAGACCAGCTGCAGTGTCAAATGCCACCAACGACTGATGAGTGTGGGCTGACGGCTTGTTCTCCGATACCATGATTGATCCTGACCAAAGACAGCAGGCCCCGGCCACGCCACATATGTATTCATGATGTTAATCAATCATAGTAGCATAAATAAAAGTTTTTTTTACACTTGTTAATGAGTGTTGAAGTTAATTAAATTTCAAGCATAAGCAGGACAGAGAGGAGTCAAGCCTGATCTTCGACAGTTCTTCACCGATATCCCTGCATATACTGAAACACAACGTGGGGGTGCAGGATTCGTGCAGAGTGAGTTCGACAGAGACAAACCAACGGACACGGACCAGAGTAAGAGTGACATTCAGCATAGCACATGGCAACAGGATTATATTCTGTCTTCTTAATTCCTGTTCTTTTATAGTTCTCGCTCTGTAATAGTGTTTCTTGTTTTCTCATATTCCCAAACACTCAGTAACCCTCTTGCCTCTTAGTGGCTTTATTGCCTTGCTTGAGGTAAATGTATACAGTCAAGCATGGCGGCAGCAGCAAAGAATGTTAGGGTTAAGTCAGTCGTGAGCAAACTACAGATGCCACATGCCACCTGATTGGCTTTCTGAATGGCATGCATAATTTAATGAGGAAAATAACATTTACTAAAATTTTGTTGATTTTATTGTTCCCACTTGTTCACTCACATACTCTCTCATACATAAACAATGATTATGTACAATGTTTCTTGATTTTTGTAACCTTTTGTTGATAAAATTCATCATTTTAAACCACTGGCAATTTTCACAAAAAAGAAAAAAAAAAAAAAAAAAGAGATCATATGTGTAAACTTCATTTGATGTAAAAGCAAGAAACCTTCATATTTTTTTTTTTCCTCTGAAGAAGAAATATACTTAAAAATGTGTTTGCATACTCAAATGAATAAACTGGAAACGAATCACACACACAGCAGCTTCTGTTAATCACATTTGTCACCAGCAATAATAATATTTCAAGACTTCAGTTTTTAATTATCGAACTAATCTTTTCTCCAAAGAAGATGAAGGGGGGGAGGATCTAAAAACCCACCCATTTCTAAAGAAGATGCTTACACGTTTGATATTCTGTGGTAGAAATTAACTTTAATTGAGCTTCAAAAATTCAAATGCAATGTCAATCGTTAGCTTCTGTCTTCTTAATTCCAGTTCTTTTATTGTTCTTGCGCCTCAAGTGTTTTTCATGGTTTTCATAATGGCTGTGGTACCATCAATAATAAAAAAAAAAAAAAAAATCAGCTTGAATTTATTTCATGCGGCTCACTGGACGGAAAAGAGTTACCCATACCTGCTTTAAGTTTGAAGTTCACTACCAGATCAGGAGTTATCATTATATACACTATTTACATTCAGACCATTGGAAAATTTGTAAACTTAAGGAATCAGTATATATGCTAGGCCACAAAAATCTCCTGAGCCGACCAAGCATAGAAATGGGAACCAGTAATAAGGAGTGCCAGTGAAAAGCGATAATAACAATAAAAATTTCAATATGAGCTCTGGTAAAAACATGTAATGATAATAGCAAAAAATTGCAATATGAGCACTGGTAAAAATCGGTTGCTGAGACATTAGGTTTATAATACCCAGAAATTCATACACAGATGTCCTCAAGGGCACATGACACAGTGGATAAAGGCATTGGTTAGATCCAGTGACAGGACACAAAGAGTGTGAGTTCAATACCTGGTTAAGACAGTGGAGAGGGGAATTAACAAGAGATAAGTGACATCCATTAAACATGTGGAACTAGAACAGTCTACCCCAGTGAGCGAAATAAAGGGTTCAGTTCCAACCACCTGAAGAAGGCCGGAGCAAACAACGGCCGAAACGTTGTAATAAATATGGCGACAATGATGAGGACAATAGTCCGAATAATGTAAATAGTGTACCTCATCTTTCTTCTTGTTATCACATTTGCCATTGTGCCGTCCGGTCTTCATATATCGATCTGGGTAACCTACAGGGAATTCCGAACTGAACCCGTTAATTTACAGGGGCAGACCATTTTTGCTCCACTGCCTATGTCGAGAGCTTATTTTTAGTACTGCTCAGTCATTGTTTACCATGTTTCCACTGATTCCAAGTATACACTACCCAGACAGAGCATTGAACTCACAATTACTATATTGCCAAATTTAGGAAACAACACTTTAATCCATAGCCTAGTGTTGCTTCATGAATTTGGTGACATAGTAATTGTGAGTTCAATCCCTAGGTCAGGTACTACACAGATTTAGACACAGATAGCAGAATGAGAACAGGCATTCCTCCAATGCCATAGATTAAATAATGGGTTCACCTCTTAAGGTCATCTGGATGAACAAACATTTTGTTATTATCAGAATATTATCTGGCTGTTGTGCTCTCTGACCCCCTTCAGAGCATCCTTTTTTTTAAAAAATCATATCACCTCATGCAAGGCAGTAAAGCCACTAAGACACAAGAGGTTATTGTTGTGGTAAACCCTCCTGCAGTAGAATGAACTCTTCCTCCTCTCATAAATACTAACTGTGTGAGTCGGTTGGGGAGCAGAGACGCAGTGTTAACTTACCGTTTGGACGTACACCTCTATCTGCTTATTACTCTTGCTTTGTATATATCTGTTATTTCAATACACTTGTTCAACCTACCTTTGTATTCCATGTCTTTCTTTCTGGCCCCTAAACAGGCCACGACAATTATTGAGTATGAAAGAATGAGAGAGAAAAAAAGAGAAACATCTTTAAGGAGCGAGAACGATAGAGGAGTAATCAAGAAGACAGTAGATAATGAGTGACATTGTTTTGAAGATCAAAGATGAGTGGAAAGCATAGAGCCGGAAGAGAGTCCCACAATTGAAAAGTGTGACAGAAGAAACCATTAGCATATAACTTATGGTCGTGTTTAGCCAATTCAACTGTGAATCTTGCCACTGATCTAGTACTGTGCCCTTTATTTAATCTACAGGCATAGAGTGTTCTTGTTCCATGTCTAAAGATATCTCCCTTATTTTCTTTCTTTTTTTTTCAGCACTGCTCAATTATTGCTTGCCTTGTGTTCACTGAAGATCAATAGACATCTGGAGAAGATCAGAAAGCATAAAACAATGAGGATATTCGTCCAAATGTAAATAAGCGTAGACTTACCCGCTAACCATTGCTTCAATGAAACGCTTTTGAAGTGAGATTAATTTCTTGTATTTTTTTCACTAAATGTTTTTTGCCCAAGAGCCACTCAAGGTAGAGGGTTACTAAATGAGGTTGATGTATGGAAGTTAAGAGGAAGAAGATAAAGTAAATTATGAGGACACAACGAGATATATCAGAATACTGAAATGGTGAAGAGAAGAGATAGTCCTTGAGGGCATTGATGTTTCACTATGTTCAAAAAACTAAATAGATCAGCTGTCTCAATTGTACACTTCAACATGGCATGAGTGGCCCCACTAGAAACTATTGCATGGCCCAAATCCCATTTGTAAAATCAGCAATGCAATGTCCCCGATATTACGCACTTGCGGATGGGATAGCCTCCTTAGGTGTTACTTTAACGTTCATACACCTGACTAACAGGCGGCTACCAGAAAACATTTATAGCCAGCACACTTAACCCTAGAACACTAACCGTGGGTATATAGTACCCAGCGGAAATTTTCCTATTTTTAATTACAATTTTCCATATCTGATTTTCTTATCTAAATAATGTTTTTCAGTTCCTATTAATGTTAACTCAAAGTACAAAGTTTGAAGTGCCTGCATGTAAAATATTTCAAATAAAGATTTATATTTAATACTTTTTTTTTTTTTTTTTTTGATATTTTCAAAATCTGGTATGATATACCCATGGTTAGTAGTGGCGTAACTTTAATTGATGGTTAGTGTTCTAGGGTTAATAAAATAGACAATCCAGAAAAGTAAATACACTAGTATTTTCTTTCCCGAATTGTTCAAAGTGAAACCGTCATCTAACCAGAATAATAAATGTTGGTTGGTTGCTTTCCTTTAGCAGCATATCAACACCTTTATGTTAATGCTGAAATTTAAATATTTTTTTTTTTTACACCTTTTTCTTTTTTTTGTGAGGGGAGAAGGGTGATAATAATGGTTTTAGTGATACAAGTCTTACTAATTAACCCATATCGAGGAGGTGGGTGGGAGGGAGAGAAAGAGTATTTGTGCGGAAGTGAATATAACAAACTGACCAGGAATTGGAACTCGGCTCTCTGATTAGCAATTCTGTGCCATTATCCATTACACCACCCACACATCCAAGCTTACAGTACCTGGTATTCCCAAGGGGTCACCCATCTAGGTACTCACCAGACTTGACATTGCTTAACTTCGGTGATAGTATGGGAACTGGTGTTTCAACGAGATGTGACCGTAAATCCAGAATCATCAAAGCAGTGTCACAGAAACCAAGAGACGCCCCCTCACATGAAAGGACCTGATGAGGGGGGGGGGAAGTTACAAAGGCTGCTCTGGGGTTTAAGGTAACATCCCAACTACCATCACTGACCTTGAATGGTGAGGATGGAAAACCTAGCAGAGGGATGACAGAAGAGTCATTGTAATAATAATAATAATAAAATAATTTGTATAACGTTTCTGTCTGAATTCCCAGGATTGAGGAGTTATCATTATTTACACGATTTACATTGAAACTATTGTTCTCATCATAATGTTTCGGCTGTTGTGCCTTATCGGGCATATAGGGATCTAGGGTAACCTATATGGAATTCCGAACTGAACTCTTTATTTAATCTATGTGGGTAGACTGTCCTTGCCCCATTGCTCATGTTTAGTTTTCATTTTTAGTACTGCTCAGTTATTGCTTGCCCTGTTTCCACTGAGTTCAAGTACACACTGCCCAACCTGGGGATTGAACTCACAATTACTATGTCACCAAATTAATGAACCAACCATTAGGCTATTATCCCATAGCCTAGTGAATTACATAGTAATTCTAGGTCCGGCAGTATGTACTGGGGACTCAGTGGAAATGGGTGAGCAACAACTGAGCAGATATCCCTACACAAAGGCTGTGGAGCAAGAATGGTTTACTCCCATAGATTAAATAAAGTGTTCAGTTCAGAATTCCATGTAGATTACCCAGACTAATATACAAGATAAAGGCTAGAAACACTTGATGATAACAACAAAAGATAAGGACAATATACCAAATGTAAATAGTGAAAATTGCATGGAGTGGTTTTTGTGATTGTTAAAAAAAAATGAATTCCAAGATAAAAATTGCAAATTCTTTCAAGGATATATTGCAAAATGATTTTCACTCTCCCCCAATACAATTGATAAACAATTTCCCTACATTTAACAAGAATGGGAAGTCTCATCATTATGAGATTTTAAATGGCTTTTTAACTGTGCACTGTAAAGGAATGACTGACTACACATTTCACACTGAAATTTAGCTTCACGGTTATGCATTTTCATGTGAAATTTTAAGCTTGTACTATCAGAGAAAGCTTTTCCACACACTTCACAATGGAATGGAGTTACTCCAGTATGAGTTCTCAAATGTCTTTTTAAGTTATCTTTTAGTGAAAACGATTTATCACACACTTGACACTGAAAGGGAGTCTCACCTGTATGTGTTCTCATATGATTTTTCAAATGACCACTTTGACAGAAGCCTTTACCACAAACGTTACAGTGAAAGGGAGTCTCTCCTGTGTGAGTTCTCATGTGACTTTTTAAATTACTACTATCAGAGAAAGCTTTTCCACAAATTTCACAATGAAAGGGTGTCACTCCAGTGTGGATTCTCATATGCCTTTTCAATTTATCTTTTAAAGAAAATGATTTATTACACACTTCACACTGAAAAGGAGTCTCACCTGTGTGTGTTCGCATGTGATTTTTTAAGTGACCATTTTGAGTGAAACCTTTCCCACAGACACTACAGTAAAAAGGTGTTTCTCCTGTGTGAATTCTCATGTGACTTTTTAAGTTACTACTGTCAGAGAAGGCCTTTTCACAAACTTCACAATGAAAAGGAGTCACTCCTGTATGAATTCTCATATGCTTTTTTAAGTTATCTTTCTGAGAGAAACGTTTATCACATACTTGACACTGAAAGGGAGTTTCTCCAGTGTGTGTTCTAATATGGTTTTTCAACTGACCATTAACAGAGAATGATTTCCCACAGATGTTACAATCAAAACGTTTCCGAGGCAAATGTGTTTTCATGTGTGCTTTCAAATGATGAGCTAAGGAAAATGATTTTTCACACATGTTGCACTGGTAAACTGCCACTTCTGGGTGGGATTTCAGATGTTCCATTAAGAGATCCTTTTCAGGAAAATCCTTTCCACAATGTTTACAATGAAGTGTAGGATTTGTATGCGTTTTTAAATGAGCAATTAACAGTACTTTCTGGCCAAATGTTTCTTCACAAAACTCACATGGGAAGTCCATATTTGTATATTGGTAAATCCGTTGTTTTCATGTGGCTTGCCAAGTTATTCCAAGTGGTAATTTTAGAACTGTTGCAATCTAAAAACAGAAAAAAAAAAAAAATAATGGGCTTAAAAATCAAAATAAATAGAAAATTAGAATTTCAAAATCTAAGTAAATATGAACAATTTAGAAAATTAAAGTAGCCCAAATTTTAGACCCAAACAGCCAGACTACCGGCACATATGGTTTGATTATGGTGAAGGCTTGTGCAGAACCAGCCACATTTTTCAGAAGAAATTATACAAAGGACTACTGCACATCCTGTGCAACAAGGTCTCCAAAACAACCCTTCTCAGGTTTTGACTTCAGAGTTGTGCTTCTCATAGACTGGTTGCAAACCAAGGCTACAGGGCCCAGTCAGCTCTATTTACCCATAGTTGGAAGGGGGAGATGGACTCATGCCTTTCCTAAGAGTATATTAAGTGAATGTAACAAACCCAGTTCCCCATTTTAAACCACTATTAGACATACATACATATATATATATATATATATATATATATATATATATATATATATATATATATATATATATATATATATATATATATATATATATATATATATTGCCAGAAGTCATATACAGAGAGGGGTGAAAGAAAGATGTAAATTTATTATCATGTAGGAAGGGGAGAGCAGGAAATGGAGAGAAAAATGCTCTTTTCCATCTCCCCATGATTGCATGCATGCTTATTTATATTTTAAATATTTTATTTCAACTTTCTTCAAACAGAGAATATTTTTTTAATGTTGAAAGCATCTTCAATGTTTTATAATCTGAACCTTCAGTGACTCAACAGGTCACGGGTAGTGTACTTTCAATGAGCAAAAAATATTGAAAATAAAAGTGTTTTGTAAATAAATATAAAGTTTAATAGTATTATATGTTTCCTAAACTAACTGAAAATAAATGTATTTTAAAAATATCTCTACTTTCACAAATTCTTTTGTGAAACTAAATGTAAAACCAAGGTTGAACCAACAGGTCATGGGTGATCTAGAGCATATATATATATATATATATATATATATATATATATATATATATATATATATATATAAATATATATATAAAGAAATGACAATTTAATTTATTAAAGACATTTTTATTTTAACGTTCTTTTTTTATAGATACAAGTATTTAAGTAAATGCTCTGTTTATAATAAACAGTATTAAATAACATTTACCGCCTGAATGTCCGAGAAAATTTTCATAGAAAATATTCGTTCTTTGACAGGATTCAACCTGCATCCTATACGGAACCGTCATTACTTAAATACTTGTATCTATAAAAAAGAACGTTAAACATAAAAATGTCTTTAATAAATAAATTGTTTAATAAATGAATATATATATATATATATATATATATATATAAACAAGTTTGTTTAAAAAAGAACCAACAAGATTTTTTTTTATTTCATTTTTCCAATGAGGCATTATGCAGAAAAATACAATAAAAATGAAAGAGACAGACCTCGTTGGTCCTTCGTGATCAAACTTGTTTGGAAAAATACTTGCTCCATAAATATACTTTTGTTTCGATAGATGGATGGAGCTCAACAGCCCAGGAACGCAGTTCACCTAGGGGAAGACAAACCCTGATTTTAAATCTCTACTGCCTTGCAGTCATATCCAAACAAGTCATAAAAGGCCACGGAATTAAATCTGGACAGAAAACCTGGGGGCTAAGCTCTGAAGACTTTAGGAGAACCAACCCAATCCAAAACAGGAAACAAGAAAAATTGGTGATAATGGAGAAGCAAATGAGATTGTCTACTGGGATATTGTGAAGGAATTTGTAATTAAAGAATATTAATGGAACATTTATAGCAGATGAGATTTCAGGTATATTTCAGAATAGGGGAAATTTCAGTAACAAGGTGATTTATTACCTGTGAATTTATTGTGCGGTCTCTGATTCAGTCACAGAAAAATTTGCATCTGAATTGAATTGAAAGAGAGAATTGTCCAAAATCATATTCATTGCAAAGATGCTAACAAATAGTGTTGATTTTTTATTTGAGAATTTAGAGAAGGGTTGATATGTCAGGATTTTAATATAAGAATTGATTTGCGAGGAGTATTTCCATAGTTATTCAATAATCCAGATAGCTCTATCCAAATTAAAGAGAATTTTATTGAGACTGTCATTCTAAATAAAAACACTATCATTCAGTGAACAGATTTACATTATTTACTTATTATATTGTTCATTTGAATGCTTGGCAACTTTATTTAAACTTTATAAAATAGTAAATAATGATTTCCTTATAGTTGGTTTGCATATTTTAATAGTTTAACAAATTTATGAATAAAAAAATTTCATATTTTGTTTCTCTAGAAACCAGTAAATGATAAATATTGCATTAGTTTTAATTGTATTATTTCTTAAAAGATTGTAAATATAATATTCTTGTAAATAAACAATCTAATAGTGTTTAATATTTTCATTGTAAATTCTCAAGAACAAAAAGAAATGTACAAATTCACTCTCCTCAGATGTTTAGGTTTTATTACAATTACAATCATTGCTTTTTAAAAAAAAAAAAAATAAAAAAAACATTGCCAAGAAGTGAACGTAGTTAAAATAATAGCAGTATCAAGGAGAAAACTGTCCTCTTGACTGTTTTTTTTTTTTTTTTGTGGGCACGAAGGTGTAAGTTTGCTGAAAATTCAAACTTTATATATAATTCAAGAGAATGACATTATTTCATGACTAAATTACTTAGCTTCATTTTTTTTTTTTAACTAAGTAATCTTACAAAATCAAATGAGGAGTGAAAACGAGATTAATCATAGTAAATTTTTTTATTTTTTGACTATGTATGCCATGTTGTTGGGTTTCACTTAAAAGCGGTTCATAATATAAAATGATTAGTAGAAGACAGAACAGAAGAAAAGT